GGCCTACTTCTCACAAATGTGAGCTACCCAAGAGCCTTGGTCATGGATGTGCTCCCTTCCATTGTGTGTGTGTTTCTATAGGATAGCCACGTCTGTAACCTATTCTGCAGCCAGAGAGGGTGCCACTGGCAACGACCCCGCCTCCCTGAAGCCATGGTATGGGCCCAAGAAAGACGACATCCCTCAGTGGGACCATATTCTTCTCAATCATTTTCTTCTGCCTGAGAAGGACATGCAATTCTGCACCAGCCTTTCTGAGTGTCTCCTGTTCAGCAATTACATTCATGCTCCTTGAAGTTGAAACCAATGAGATGCAGGAGCAAGGCAGGGGCTCCCCACAGCTATACTTCTTTTGCCAGCTCAAGCCCTTTGGAAATATACAAAATTCGCAAGTCCAGAAGAGTGGGACCCACAGGTGGGCTGCCATTCTCCTGCAGGTGTGTTTGTGATCTGGTTGCACTGGGGTCTGACAAAGTTTAGGGGCCCCAAGGACCAAGAGTGTAGCAGGAAGGGGCAGGGCAGGCTCAGCAGAGCGGTGCCCCAGCCCTGAAGCACACTGCCTGGGGGTCACTGGCTCTACTTCCTTCCGCCCCTCTGCAGTCTACTGGCCTCTACTGTGGCTTGTCTACCAGAATAAGGCAAATGTTTTACCACTAGACCCCAAAGCAATGAGCTCATGCACTAGAATAGTTTCAAGTGGTTGGTAAACGGTTAGTCATCCTTCCTGGTCCTTAGCCCCCATGTAATTACAGCTTCAAAGCCTAAAATTGGCTTTTTCCAAGCTACTGATTTTGCCTTGTCCCCTGGAGTAAGAGAAGTCATGAGCACGTTGCTCACTTATATGAACACGCTCCTCCGCAAGGCCCTGGGCTCCCCAGGTAAACAGAGGACTTCAAGTGCAGGCGACGGGTTTCCTTGCCCTCTTGCAAGCTGGAAGGGTAGCGGGTCCCATGGACACTTCATGCATAGGGGCAGTCCTTTGAGGACCTACCCAGCAACAGCGACTTTACCTAGGCTGGGCATGAACGTAAGCCACCGTCAACTGTCAGTGTTTGGTCTACCGGATGAAATAAGCATTTGACTAATTTGCTAAGTTTTCCTGGGGTTATGGGCCTCTTTACAGAGACAGACAAACCCCTTAGATTTTTTTTGAAGCCATTGTTTACCATTTTTGAAATTCTATCTTTATTGTCCCTAAGAACACAAGATTAACTTTAAAACATAGAAAAAAGTAAGAATGCAAGTCTTTGGTTCACTTTGGTGGCATGTCCCAACCCTGAATGCACCCACAGTTGCTGTTCAGCCTGGTGATGGACTCACTCTCCTTTGTTCTACATTTTATGGGGGGGGGGGGAGAGAGAAAGAAGACCCACCTTTCGGAATGAGAATAAAAACCAGTGGTAGCTGTTGCCAAAATCAAAGTGACATCTCCTGGCCCAGAGACCCAGAGGGGTTTACAGAGCTGCCAAGGGGGCAGCAGAGCAAGGGCTGGTCTCCCGGGCCAGGGAGGAGCTGTGCCCGGCAGCCCTGGCACACAGTTGGGCCCAGGACCCACCGCAGCAGCAAGTCTGACAGGCAGCTCTGTGGATTTCAAGTGTGGAAAAACACTGGAAGGTAAAGTTTAAATGTCCCCTTGATCATTTTACTGGAAAAAAAAAATTATTTTCAAACCTTCCAGTGCTGTTCAAGATAGCATGGTACTTAACTTTGCAGAGAACAAAGTAAAAATCAATACATGTTTTAGAAATGTAGTTTGCTTCGAATACTTGCAGCCCCGGGAGTTCTCATTTGCAAATAGCATACTGGCACTCCTGATCATTTTTATTTGGCAGCAAAGCCATCCTGGTTCTGTCTCTGGGAGGCTTGACCCAGTGTTGCCTGGGGCATATTCTCAGTAAAACATTTTTGCATTTATACTTCCTTTGTAGAAAACAATATATAAACATACTGACTGAAATGCTGGACCATAATGCAGATTTGCTTCTCAGCTAAGAAAGTCTGAGCTTTGCTGGAGGCAGCAGGCCCAGCCCAGTAGGCTCTCAGCTCCAATCTGAGCTGGAGATAGGCAGGCAGGGACAGTACATTTGTCTTCATTTGAGAAATGTATATTTATGGCAATGCTTTTCTTTATTGAGTTCTTATCTTGCACCACTTTCTAGTACACTTTTCAGGCTAGGATCATAGGAAAGCTTTTAGACTGAAATTTTTTAATTGAGCACTAACATTCCTGAAGGAAAAGATATATAAAAAGTATATATTTGAAGTGAAGGTAAAGCCATCTCTGGAAGGTTAATTTACCAGTTTATATCATCCATTAGTTTATCTCTAGATCCCCAAATACAAATATCTTCAGGCATTCTAAGAAATTATTTTTTATGATTCTTCCAAAGCTTTGACTTTGGTGAATTAGAGAATTTGTCTTTCTTTGATAAATTCAATTCTGGATGATGTCACCATACAAAAGAAATTTTATCTAAGTTGTGAGAAGTCATTGTCTTAGAGATGATGTTCACTTGAAAAAAAAACATCAATATTACTGTGTCATTACTGTGTTACACTGTTTTGGAGAGAGCTTTAATGTGATAATTACTGGTGTAATAACTACAATAAATTTAGTATTGAGCCAAGAGGATATTAACTTTCTCCACCCCCCCTTTCTTTTCATTCTTTCTTTTTACTAACTTCACTATTTGGAGTGACAAATTGAATTTTCAAAAAATAAATGGTACAAGCAATACCATGCGCAGGGTACAGTGTGCTTACCATGACCAACCGTGTGCGCTGTGCTTTCCAACATGCTGTGCCATCATGTCCATCTAGCTCATGATGGCACGAAAGAGGCAGTGGTGATGGCTGGCGGGACGCCCTGAGGGCCACATCCCCTGGCCTGCTCTTTTACTGCCAAGAGGAGGCACATGAAGTCGTCATCTGGCCCGAGCTGGGGGACCCTGATGACAATGAGTCTTACGAGATGACTGGATTTTAGGGCTGGCCCCATAATCTTTTGGGGCTTTCGGCACCATTTTCATTTGGCTCTTCATCTTTCGCTGGCCCAGAGCTCCTGGACAGAGTGAAAAGACGGCGGGGAGTGAAGGGGACATTATACTGCTGGTTTAATTTTGCAGCCCACATTCCTTGCTTAGGCAAGTGACAATTACGTCTTTGGAGGGAAGAAGAAGTGGGAGCTAACATTATCCTTGGATGACCTTGATGTATTCTCAGGAAACTGAACAACAATAGCTTCACACCTGACAGCACAACTTACTGAAGCAAGTCCACAATGCTGTGTAGAGCTTCTCTTTGCCTTGCAACTGGCCTTAGGTGAGGACTAGGCCTCACTTGCAACTCCTGGAAAACTGTCAATCCTCCTCTTCCTGTTTTCCTTGGACCTGAGTTCAAGTTTTCCCTGGGCTACTTCATAAGCTGGTGAGGCAAATTTTCTTTTTTTCCCTAAAAATTTCTATTTCGGCCCTCCCTGGTGGCGCAGCGGGTTAAAGCACAGCACTAAGAAGCTAAAACCACTTTCGCATGAGTTCGATCCCCGCCTGCCCCGGAGGAGACCACATGGCGTGGCAGACCTCTCCTGACCCGCCCGCTGCTCCCCTCAGCAGTGTACTTGGTTGATCTGCCTGTTCTGCTCCCCACTCTGTCTCTGGTGAAGCCTCTCGCCGCCCCTGAACTTCTGGTCTGTACCCCAGTTCTGTAAGCACAAATAAATAAATCTTTAAAAAAAAAATTTCTATTTCATGTCTTCCACAGTGGCCAATTATTTCATATGAAGTTGGATGGTAATAGAGAGACCCCATGCAAATGTGCCTCTTCTGAAAAGAGCATTTCTAAGACACAATAGAACTCTCTGGACTCAGCCAATGACTTCAGTCTGGCCGAGGAAGACCCAAGTAGCACCTCTGTCACAGGCATCATGGGGTTTACAGCTAAGGAAGTGTCTGCAGGTGACTGTTAAAGGACATTGTGAGGTTTCAACTCCCTTTGGTTCTGACAGAGACTGGAGGGAGAAGAGTGAGAAACCTGAGCCCGGAGAGGTCTCTGGCCACTCAGCCTCTGGCTGCTCTGTCACATGTGAGTTACTCTTCACAGGCACTAAAACAAAACAGTAAAGCAACCAAAGAGGCCATCCTATCTGACTTAGGTACAGGTGGCAATTCCAGAGGCTGGACACTCCCAACAGTCCTCAGCACCATCAGTGGCCATGGGTGGCCATGGACAGCTAAATGACCTGAAGAATTCTCAAGACTCACACAGACTGTGGACATTGCTTTTAGCAGATGCTCACCCATATTACTGATATTTTCTCAGTTCATTCAATCACTTTCTATATCATTGTTTTGAAATTGCTAGCAAAGGGGCTGAGTTTGGAGGAGGCCAGGGTGGGGGCAAGAGCTGTGACTGGCCCTGGATTGCTGCAAGAGCAGGAGAGGTGGGAGGGGGTCATGCCGCGCACCAGCCAGGTGGGATCAAAGCGAAGGGATTAGTGACAGAGAGCTCTGCTCTTTCAAGCTTGACTTGATAAAATCTCTTAGTTAGCTGCCAATAATTTTTTTCAAGTGTTCAGAAAAGGGACAAAACAAAACTTCTAGCTAGCATACTTTGCATTTTCATCTCGAAGTATGTTCTCAAGCATGGAAAACTCTTCTTTGCACCTTTACTTTGGCTAAGAGATGGGTGAGGTGATATTTAACTTAAGCTTTGGGGTCATCAGTAGGATGAAAATAATCCTGCTTGTCCCCCAGAGGTCTTGTGACCTCTGGAGCTTCACATCAATCATTACCAATGACCGATGCCTCTAGTTTCAGATCTAGCTAAGTATCCATGGGACATCCTTCACTCTCTTCTCTACCCCTTATGTCTCTACCTCACATCCCACCCTTATGCATGTCAAGCATTGCATGTGCTTTTAAAGTGAGTTACCCAGGAAGCCTTCTGAGTCAGTGACGCCCCACCCATCCTCCCACCCAGCCCCCTGCACCTCCAGTCCCATCCTTACCATGAGCCACACCTTCAGCCCCTCACGCCTGTGTAGCTCCTTCCCTGAATCTAGGCAAGCCCCGTGCCATGTGCTTGGCCATTGCACATGGTGGATATGACTGTGTAACTTCAGAATTTAGAAGGAACATGCAGCCTCTACTGAGACCTCGTGTAGTGTTTGCTCTGGGGGAAACCAACCACTAGTGAGACGTCTGACTGCTGTGAAACCCTGTGACACTGCAGTCAGGTGACAGGCCCGCCGAGCCTCCATGTGTCCCAGTCACCCCAGCAAAGCCGTCAGACAGGAGTGAAGAATCCAGTGTGGCTCTCTAACCCAGTCAGGCATTCAGCTGGTGCCAGCCTTAACTGCCACCTGGCAGCAACTATGAGACTCCACAAGAGAGAGCGATCTCCTAAGCCCAGCCAACCCAAACAACCATGAGAGATAACAACTTTCTCTTTGAACCACAGGGTTTTGCAGTGCTTTGTTATGTGGCAATAGACAACCAGCAAGAGATACCCACCAGGACAGGGTAGCCGTGAAAATAGGAAATTTTCCATGTCTATATTTTAGCAGTCTCAATGAGGACGCGTGAGAGGATGACTTTCTTCTATTCACATGAAAGATGTCTCCTCAGTGATGGCTGTAGAGACTAAACTTCACTGTGAGTCGAGGTTGCTGAAGCATTTTGAGAAAATCCACGGTGCGTAGACCACAGCTTCCCCACACTCTCCAATTCCTCTTCTGGTCACGTACCCTGTACTTCTCCTTCCTAACGCTGCATGCTCAATGTGCCCGGTTTACTGGCTAGATGGATGCTTTGCAGCAGCACATATGCAGGGTGGACCTTCTTGAAGATAAAGATGGCAAGAGAAAAGAGCGGAGAACACATGCCAAATGGGTGGAGGACACGAGGTCTTTCCTTATCTCTTGGCGCTAGCTTTCCCTGGCTCTTCCACCAGCATGTTTTCCTTTCCCTGCCATTTGTTTTCAAGGTGCTTTTCCTTCTCTACCCTGGAAAAGACATTGGAGAACCTCCCCCAACCCCCAAGCTCAATAGACAAGGTAGGAATTTTTCAAAAGGAACATTTACTAGGAAACTAAAGGGAAACCAAACAGAATGCAAGAGAACAGAGGCAGAGCTGCAGACAGACTCAGGGAGTTCAGATTTATAACCGGCCTTTGGCCACAGCTAGACTGGCTAAGCAAAGCTCTCCAGACACAAAGCCGGCTGTCTGCCATGCGGCCGCCTCTTTGCCTGCTGCCCCCTGCAAAGCCACTTTCTGTTTCATACCAACAAACCAGTAGCAAACTTATTAGTACCCCAGGCCTGATAACTGTCTTGGAAGGACAATCTTGAGGGAGGGGGGACACCAGGCACAGCTGCCCCAGGTTCCATTGCCAAGGACACATCAAAATCAATTGAATGGCTGCCTGATATCTGCTGTAGCCAGCCAGGTTTCTTGGGGACCATTCTTCTGGCCTCATCTGTCTGGCTCTAAGAGATAATATTTCTGGTGATTGTCCTGCTGGCACCAGTCTTTCATGCTTTGGTTCTAAACACTGGTATGGGGGGGGAGGGGAAATGTCTGAGTGGGGAGGAATCGGCAGAGGGGAACCTTGAGTAAAGAATGTTGAATCCTTCTCCTGTCATTGGATATAGGCAGAACCTTGGGTTCCTTTTGGAGCCTGGTCGAAAGTCATTCAGAGATGGAAATGGACCCAGCAGGCTGGGGAATGCATGAAACTAGAGTACAGTAACACTATCACACACCATCACAGTCTCCATCCTTTATAGAACTGACATCAAGGAAGTTTTCTTTCACCAGGTAGCTGTGGCAGTGAGAATGTTCTGAAGACATGCATTAGTCCTGCTTCCACCCAGTTACTCTTACATTTAAATGTTAATTCAAATTATGATAATGAGCTTCCCAGGAAGGAAAACTACAATTCAACGCTGGATTCTGCTGCAAAAGCATTTACAAAAAGGGGAAATACTATCTTGGAGAAGTGGTGCAAATGTGAGGATGGGATACTTTGCACCCATAATGGCAGAGAGAGGATCACAAGGAAACACCCTCCCTGGGTATGCTGAGGCCTTTGGTTTCATTTGTATGGAGGCAGAAGCAATGAGGATGAGGAGCACGGCTGGCAGGGGCTGGCTGATATGGTCACAGAGGAAGCTGAATAATGAATGAGATACCGGGGAGAGCCCTTGACCTTCACTCTTGCAGGTATTTCCATTCCCCAAGTTCTATGAAAGTGATATATGCGTCTGCAAGTGAAAAGGAAACCTGTTGGTGGCCACCCAAGGTGATGCTCTGGGTTGTTGCATATGGAAAACCCCCGGAAGGCACTCAGGCCCAGAAGGCCCCCCAGTTGTGCCTTCCTTCAGGGAGGGCTGTGTGGTCTCTCCATGGACTCTCCTTACACAAAACTCCACCTATATCTGAGGATGTCCCCTTACTGGACAGATGTGCTTGGGCAAGGGCACCCCATAAAGCTCATGCCACTGAGAAGCATGCCTCTTTACAGGGGTGGCCATTAACTCAGGTTCATTCTAGTGACAACCGCCAGCTGAAAGGCTAGGTCCCAGCTACCTAGAAAACAGTGTCGGGGATCTGATTCCTCGGAACCTGGGTTCAGCAGAAAGAAAGCCATGATTGGCTGGCACTCTGTGCATGGGAGGGGCAGTGAATTGGCTAGGAACTAGTCCTCCTTGCACCAGGTTTTCACCAGGGAAATAGCCTGCTTATCCTGACTCCTGTGGGGTTATTCTTTGCAAAGCTAGAGCACTTGCTGGGATTAAATTGTTTTCTGGAGACAGTTATTAGCTCAAAGATAGTCCAGTGTGAATTAGGTCTGCTGCTTATTTAGCACCTGGATATATTTTAAGATATTCTGTCCTTCCAGGGCATTCAAGCAAAGAACATCGTGTCAGCGTGATGTGGCCAGGGCAGGTGCTATGACCCATCAACAAGGACCGCGTGTTAACCTGCCAGAGTCCCACCATTCAGGGCACTCTCAGCACTCGCACTGGATCAGCTGGTTTCTTCCACAGTCTGATCTCGGTTCCTGACCGTAACAGATGTACGTCTCTTGCGCACAGTCTCTCAGGCCACCTGGAGATAGCTGGACGGTTCACATTCAGCAAACCCAATCCGGAGTAAGGGCCACTTATTGCCATGGTGACAGCCGAGCATTTGGTCACTGGACTCGTCCGGGTGTTGTTGGATGGGAAAAGTTACTCAAGATCTTTGTAAGATGGTGTCCTACTGTGTCCTTGGCACAAGCAACCCTCTTCCCATAGTCATCGTTTCTGTAGGAAGAAGAAACAGAAATAATTCTTTGGTTTTCACCCACCAATTTTACTGTATACCAAACAGGCACTGGGACAGCAGCAGGAAATAGAGATACCAAGAGTAAGACACACTCCGCTTTCGAAGGGCTCACCGAGGGAGAAATGACAAAATGAAAAACTGGAGAACAGAAGTGGGCATAAAACACTGCAAAAAGACAGAAGGGACCATCTGCTCCCACAAAGCAGGTTCTGAAACCTACAGGACTCCCAGAACTTGGGGAGAGAGCGGAGCAGAGGGAAGTCTGTGGTCTGGGTTGGGAAGGGTCTGAGGGGTGTAGCATCCAGGCCTGGCTTCCACCTGAAGGAGGGGCTAGCCCTAGACTTAGAGAAGTGAGAGCCCTGGTGCTGCTCTCAGTCTAGCATTCAGGGTATCTCCCTAAGTTCGCATTAATGAGCCATCACCCTGGGAAAGAAAGCTAAAATCACTTCCACGGACACAGCAATAACTATGGGAGCATAGCAAATACTTTGTGAGTGTGAAGAAAGTAGTTCGGTTGTTCTTGCAGAAGGGCAGTTTTGAGCATGGCAAGGGCTCATTGTACTGTGGTTCAAACCCTTTTGTCTACTGATGGAAGACTGGAAAAGAACGCAAACAAGCAAACAAAACAAAAATATGCAAGTTAACATTGCTTTCCAACGCCTTATTATCCAACGAGCTGTTTCTTGGTCAAGATTTCTATAAAATGAGGTGTAAGGAAAGGTTTCTCTATCATTCAGAAGGGCACTAACCCAGTGGGATTTTTGGTAAGTAAATGGGGTGGTGAAAACTGTGGCACCAACACTGGAGGTAACAACGGTGGCACTGGGCCCATCTCAGTGGGCAGAGGCAGGGTGTCGCCCCCATCACAGGTCCAGTAGCTTCCCAGGCAACACCAGTAATTTAGAAGGTATCAAGAAATTTCAGTAGCATCAGTAAGAAGAAGTAGTGATTACTATCTCATCTGCACAGAAGATATGTTAAGAGAATTCAATTGTCCTGAGACATATGGATCTGATTATAGTTAAATTGAATTGAAACCAAAGATGAGAACTGTTCCCAAGAAAAGTGTAATGTGGAGTGACATTTCACACACAAAAATGACAGCTGATGTGAGGCAGGACATTGAAACTGACCCCAGATTAAGAACATGAAAAGACTTGAGTGGATTATTGGATAATATCTTCCCATGAATTTGAAAATGGGTTTTGATTACAGGAAGTGTCTAAGGGCTTAGAACTAAGAAGCTTGTCAAGAACTGAAGTGACTCATTACTTGATTCAATCCTATATGTACTGAATATTGTTAAACTTGTGTTTAAAACTTTTAATTCAAAGGCATAAAAAGTGTTGGGATTTTGTTGACTATGGATAATTTACCACCATTTTACAAATACATGAAGAAGTATCATGCCCTGCAGCCTCAGAATTAGATTAGCTTCTCTCCTTCCCCAAAGACAGTGTTCTTTATGCTTTAAGGATTACATGTTTAAAAAAAATCAAGTAGTGTGAATATGACTAGACTTCCAGTCATGGGGTTGGGACAATAGAACAGAAAATGAGAGTCCCTTTGGTTACGTAATAATTACCATTTATTGAACACTCAAGCACTCTGCTTTGCCTTGGAACTTTGCATATCTTATCTCATCCAATACTTGCCTCAATCCTTGGTGAGAGACAAAACATTTTTTTTTTTTTTTTTGAGGCCAGTGAGTCTGAGAAAGGATAAAGAACAAAGGAGTAAATGTCAGAGCCAAGATCTAAGACCAGCCTTTATGGACCCAGAAGTGTACTTCTAAGTACTATGTTCACAATGGCACATCGCTGAGCCTGGTGTCAATTCCACTATTGCACTGTTCTAGAAAGTCTTCTCCTTCAGAAGATAATTATCAATGGTCCAGACTGTGGGAAAGTGTGTTAAGATCCATTGATCTTGAGGGCAAGATGGGGAATGGTGATAAGTGTGACATAGAGCTTTGGACTGTTCATTCCCAAAACAAGCAAGAATCAAGGACTGAAAGTAAAGGGCCACTCAGAAGGTAGCAAGAGTGCTGTCACTGTTTTTCAGAGAACAAACAAGTTATGAAGTCCTGCAAGGCAAACTACTCCAACCGTTGAAGTGAGCTGGAGGATATTTGGATTCTGTTCCTTCAAGTTTCATGCATTGAATTTATGCATTAGTTTATTCAACACTTTTTATTCAACTACATTTTGGCACCATGCTAATGTACTGACCACTAGAAACACAGCAGTGACTAATGTACATCCTTCTCTTGAAGGATTCACAATTGTCAGTAAATAGAGTGAAGGTTGATGAGAAAGAAAAGGAAATGAGGTCTCACCAGGAAGCTCAATTGTAACTGCTGTTTGTATTTTTCTCTCTCTCTCTCTCTCTGTGTTTGTGTGTGTGTGTATAAAATTTCACCTACGCAAATCAGGAAAGAAAACATCATGATAAAATTGTTCCAGGATACATGAGATGTTCCAGGTGGTGAAATGAAGTTCTATTTATAAGGCTGGAGTTGTCTCCCATCGACCACATGGCTAGCAGAAGCCAACCATGAGAAAGGACTCACTTTGTCCACTTATACCTCTGCTGAAATCCCACAGTGTGTGTGTGTGTGTGGGGGGGGGGTAAACCAGCCCCTGGATACATTTAGGAAAACTTAACTACATACATGTATAGTCAATGTTTGAAAGCTTAGGAAAATCTGATATTTTTTAAGATGTTGAAATACTAAGATATATAAATATATAAGATTTTATTTACCTGTATTATAAAGTTAACCGTGCTTGAGAACAATTTTGCTTAACACCTACTGTGTTAGATATTTGAAGTGTTTGACATCACATTTCAAAATTGTGACTTAAGTTTGGAATGTTTAAGGGAATTTAGTCAATCAATTGCCTAAGCAGTTTAAATACTAGGATAATTTTATTTGTTGGAGTTATAAGATTTTTCTTTAATTTGAAATGTTTAAGAGAATTTGATTAAGTGTGAAATTAGTATTTAAAAGTTTGGGGAAATTTAGTTTCAAATTAATGAGCTAATTGAGAATTAAGCAAAGAACATATGAAAATGAGTGTTTTAATTTCAAAATAAAATGAATAGACATATATCCTTATAATATTTAGCTCTGTGATAGCATTTAGTGTGCACTATGCTAAGAATAGTACACATAGTAATTCATTTACTCCACAGTTCTCTGAGGTAAGTACTATTATTGTCCCTATTTCACAAATGAGCAAATCAAGGCACAGATGTGTTAAATGCTTAGTGCTCTGGACTAAACTGTGTACACTCCAAATTCAAATAGTGAAACTTTTACCCCCAATGTGATGGTCCTTGAAACCCCCAATGTGATGGAACCTTTTGGAGGATAATTGGGGTTTGATGAGGTAATGCAGGTGGGGCTCTCAGGATGGGATTAGTGCCCTTAATTAGGAAAGGCTAGAGTTCTCCCTGCTACCTTTCTCCTTCCACTTCCCAAGTGCAGGGACCTCATCACAGGCAAGTCAGAAAGGCATGCTCACCAGAACTCAAGCATGCTGGTGCCCTGACCTCTCTTCCCACCCTTCAGAACCGTAAGAAACGAAAGTATGGCATTGTGTTATGGCAGTTGGAGCTAAAACACCAAAAGTATTAGTTTCCTGAGGTGGGCTGGGGAGGTAGACAGGAGGGTGATTAAGACAACTGAAATGTGTTTTCTCATAGCTCTAAAAGGCAAGGTGTCATTGAGACCATGCTATGAAGGTACTAGGTAAGAATTTTTTCTTGACTCTTCCTATCTTCTGCTGATTGCCAGGAGTCTCTGGCTTTCCTTGGCACAGTGCCACATCACTCCAATTCCTGCTTCCTTCACCTCACATCCTCACCTGGTCTTTTTATAAAGACACCAGTCAATGAATTTAGGGCCCTTCCCAATCCAATGTCCTGCTTTAACTTAACTCAATATTTGTGGATGTCCTTTTCCCAAATGATATCACATTTTGAAGTATCCACCAAAAAGCCACTATCACACTTCTGATCTCCCTGAATTGCTCTTTTGTATTTTTCATGAAACTTATTACCTTCAATGTTATATAATATGCCCATTTACAATGCTTATTTTCTGTTTCATACATTAGGATATAAGCTTCACGAGGTAAGAATTTTTGTCTATTTTTTCTCACATATGTATACCATAGCAACTCCTTATTTGTTGATGGATAAATAAATGACTGAATACACTATTTCCCTCAGCAACATGATTTTTTTTTTAAAGGAAATCCGATCAATCATTACTTGAACAGAACGCCACAATCAATAAATGATGCAGGTAATGCAAAGAGGCTTCTTAAATGATTGCTGAGATAAGCACTCAACCTGCTGATTCCAGACACAGAGGGATTCTGTGCTTTCTGGAGGAAATGGTATTGGATTTCCCAGCTTGGTTTGAAATAAGATGATTCTGTTATCAGACCTTTATATGAACTACCTGAACTTTTCTATTGTCACAAATCTTACCTGAGACTAGGAACGTGACTGCATTGTCTTTACTTGTATCAGCATTGCCTTGCATTTGCAGAACTGGAAACTGGAATGAAGGCAGGGTTCATATAATTCTCCAGAAAACAGATTCTGTGTATTTCTGAGCCCACACTGGGCTATGCAGAACCACGATGTATGTAGATTTGTTGAGAATAGGACATGCAGAGTCCATTTAGTAAGTTGGCAATCATTTTCCAAGTCATAAGAAGGAAGAAACTGGAATTATATCTAACAAGAATTTATACAATATTAACTCTGTACCAGACATTTACCAAGTAATGATTATATAATCATGACCAACACTGAGTCTCTACCCTCAAGAAGCAGTTAGATGTGCTGCGGATCACACATGCACAGATAATATTTCACGCACCAAATGTCACAGTAAGGGTAGGCACAGGGCACTGGAAGAAGAGGATGCAGAAAAAAGGATCGTCAAAATGTTTCTTGA